TTCAGGTTTCTTCCTCCATATTTTAATCGTAATTCCAGTTTGGTTCTGAGTGGAGGTGAGTATAATATCCACCTGCTCTGCCACTATCATGGATTCTAGTGAGGTCCTTTCTTGATGGAGGCACAAGCATTGAGTCTGGAGCACATCTGCCTGTGAGGGCTGCAAATGCCCCACCTTTTCCAGGGCAGAAGAAAAGTTTGTAACAGGGCCTGTGGTGTACTGAAGCACTTTTCTGTAGACACTTCTAAAGAGTTTGAAGCTTTTGACAGGCTGATCAGCCTTTAGAAAGGTATTTTCTATAATCCTAAATAATTTAGAGACAAATTGGTTTCCTCTGCTAGATCATCTTTAAGCTCATATCAGTCCTCTTTCAATGGGATCAGAAGAAACACATACTAACCTTTGACTCCTCTCACATTCCACCTCTGTCATGCAGAGTGGCCTCCTGAGATCAAATCAGTGGATCCAGATTTGCTGGAGCAGGCATGTGTGTGTCGCATTTGGTTTGCCATGACTCTTTGGTATTCAACCATGCGTTGGGGAAACAGAACAATTTGGGGCATGTGAGTCAGAGGTATGATGAAAACCTGGCTGGCGAGTGTGAATGTGGGTTTGGGGAAGGAGTTACTCATATTTTCTATAACCATTTTGAAATGGTATGTTTTATGGAACCTCTACATTATTGGCGGCTAGATTCCTTGTAATGCACAGATCAGAAGGAAAATCCTATAGAGAGAAGAAGAAAATTCCCAGGCCAGAAACTCATGGTCCCTTAGGATGAGCATTACTCTTCAGTTTTTTAGTCTGGAAGCTCTGTGGCAATCAGATGTTGCCACTGGAGAGATAGGGGCACTGGGAGTAGCTGGTAGCTTGTGGGCCTCAGTTGGGTAGTCTTGATTTGCACATCAATCATCAGTGGTCTATATTTGGGAAAGGTTTCTTACGTTTCTCTTTCGCTTTCTCTTTCTTTCTCAAAAATCAGTAATTGGCTTGTTTTATTTTACAGAGATACAAGCAATATAATTAGGTTTTTCTTTGTTACAGAGTTGAATTATTTTCAACATTTATCCCAGAAAGAATCTTTGGGCATGCAAACCCCATAAAAGCTGTATCATCACCCAAAGAAGTGGTATTCAAAGAAGTAGTGTGGCCCAGCTAGCACAGTTCAGTGGTTGAACATCAACCTATGAACATGGAGGTCATGGTTCAATTCCCAGTCGGCATATGCTCAGGCTCGATCTCCAGTGTGGGGAGTGCAGGAGGCAGCCAATTAATATTCTCTCTCATCATTGATGTTTCTATCTCTCTCTCTCCCTCTCCCTTTCTCTCTGAAATCAGTAAAAATATATTAAAAAAATAAGTGGTGTGTTTAAATGAGCATCCACTATACACGTTGCCCTCAAGCTCCAGGAGTCTGATTTTTAAAAAAAAATTTTCAGTTCATGTTATTGTTTGACCCATGGGTATAGGGTCAAATGGGGTTATCAGTCACAAAATCCAGCACAGAGTTAAAGTTACAGCCAGGGCTCTGCCAGCTGTGTCAACCTGGTCAAGTAACATTATTCTGTGCTACTGTTTCCTCATGTGTAAAATGAGGAAAATGGTATGTGGAATGCAGTGAGTACTCACTCAATGGTAGCTTTTATTATAGTGGAAAGTCATTTGAGTGCCAGATGAACTGAGTTTTAGGTTCATTTCACTCAAACATCCAATATTTTCTGTGTTTGTCACCTTGTTCCAGGCATCTGTGTGTGGGATACGGTGGCACAGGTACTCTTTTGACTGGACAAATCATGTCACTTCTGTGTGCCTTGTTTTCTTAAACTTATATCCAAGTATTCAAATCAAATATATCCTTGACTCATAACTTGTAACACTGTAGCATTATTGATGTTCCTGGGAGTGTAAGAATGCAATCTCTATTTTGGGTCTTTCTAGGGTGATGTTCTAGAAATTTCTGAGGTAAAAGTCTCTTCCTTGCCAATCACTGTTTCACTGGATCCTCTTTGAATTTTTCCTAAACTTGTACAATCTTTTAAGTTTTTCCAGGCAAAAATGCACGACTGATAAATACCACATCATTTGGTTTCCCTTCATTAGATTACATTCAATTGTGCCTACATTCTTACAGATATTTTTATTTCCCAATTTTTAAACAATTACTTAAAATTCTTCAATGTATTTTCATTGCTCTTCAAATAAGGTCCAAAATCCTTTATAAAATCCTTCTTTACCTAATTCTCCAATCTCAGCTTAATCTTTTTTCCCCATTTATTACCTGTGTTCCAGGAGCGTTTAGCTTCTCTTAGTTCACCAATGTACCATGATTTCTTGCCTTAGCATCATTGCACATACTGTTCCCTCTGCCTGGACTGCTCTTCTCTTCCCCTCCCCTTGTTTCACCTAGTTAACTCTTATTAATCAGTCACATCTCAGTTTGAACAAAAGCGTCTTTGGAAAAGTCCTCTTTTCCACATCCCACCAATTCTGCCCACCAGATTGGACCTTGTTATCCCTGATTATATTTGGAATCTTCTCTTTCTTGTTCTACAGTTTCAATCAAATCACTTGCTGATTTTCATTGATTTATCCTTCTTGGACCTCATAATTTTTTAATGTGAGCATTTATGTTTTCCATAAATTCTAGAAAATTCTCTTCAAATAGTACTCCAAATAAATCTTACTCCATCTTCTCTTGCCTCTATTTGGAACTCATAGAGGGTACACATGGGAGTGTGTGTGTGTGTTTTTTGTTTGTTTTTACTTCTTTCATGTATCTTAACTTTTTTGTTATATTTTCTGTCTTTTTTAAAAAAATCTGTGTGATATTCTGGGAAATTTTCTCCAAAATTACCTTCCAGTGTACTAATTTTCTCTTTAACCTTGTATAATTGCTGTTTAACCCTTCCATTGAGATTTTTATATCAATAATTACATTTTTTTGCTTCATTAAATTTTAATAAGTGCTTTTCAAAATATGTCTGCTATTTTATGATTTTTAAAAAACTATGTATTTAGTTGTACTTCCGATTCTTGCTTATGTAAATTGTCACATAATTTACAACCTTGCCCTGCCTAGGAAATCCCCAGAATAATCAGTTTATGCTTTTCACTCTGGTTTTGATTTCCTTTTTGGCTTATAGATGTCCTAACTTCCATTTTAAAAGGATATTTGTTATATCTTTATCCAGCATGTGTAGGTGTTTTATAGTGGGAGTTTTGTTCTGCCATATTGCTAGAACTAGGTATTCTCTAGGTCCCCTTTTATAAAGAATGACCGGTCAACCAGTCGCTATGATGCGCACTGACCACCAGGGGGCAGATGCACAATGCAGCAGCTGCCCCCTGGTGGTCAGTGTGCTCCCACAGAGGGAGCAATGCTCTGCCAGAAACCGGGCTCACGGCTGGTGGGTGCAGCTGCTGGGTGCAGCTACAGGGGTGGGAGCCTCTCCCGACTATGTGGCAACAGCGGTGGCAGGTGCAGCGGGCTGGGATGAGCACGAGCAGCGTGGCCCTTGGTGCACTGCTACATCCCTTGAGGGGTCCCAGATTGCAAGAGGACGCAGGCCAGGCTGAGGGGAACCCCCCTCCCCCTTGCACAAATATGAATCCGTGCTCTGGGCCTTTAGTTAAACAATAATCATCCGTTTAATGCCTTTCTTCCTTTCAAGAATGTACTTCCATCAGAACTGGCACTATTGTCTGTCTTATTCAATACTGTCATTCTAGCTCCTAGCCAACTGCCTAGAACAGTGGTTCTCAACCTTCTGGCCCTTTAAATACAGTTCCTCATGTTGTGACCCAATCATAAAATTATTTTCATTGCTACTTCATAACTGTAATGTTGCTATTTTTATGAATCGTAATGTAAATATCTGATATGCAGGATGGTCTTAGGCGACCCCTGTGAAAGGTCGTTTGACTGCCAAAGGGGTTGCGACCCACAGGTTGAGAACCACTGGCCTAGAACATTGTAGAACTCAATGTAGTGGAGGCAGGTGGCCCTGGATATTAGTTGTGTCAAATGGATTAGGAATCCCTCTCTACTCTTTTGCAAATTTTTAAACACTCCTCACCTTTCCTTGAACACTAGCCTTCCCTAAAGTGAATTTATTCCTCTGTAATTGATATACTGTCTCACAAGTGACTTCATACTGTACTCTTTTCAGCTACTTTCTGTATAGATTATCCCATTTGAATTCATGATCACCTTGGACCTGGGTAGGACTGGGATGATTATCCTGTTTTTACAGATGAGGAAACTGAAGGTAGGGGAGATGATGTGTCTTATCTTCTGAAAGACAATCAGTAGTAATCCCAGAATTAAATCTATGTATTCTGACTTCAATTCTGTAAAATTCTACCTTAGGAATGAACATCAGAGCTTCTTTATATGAAAGTGGAGTCCACTTTGCTTCTTTACTGAACTTCCTGTTGTTGGGTGTTTTTTTTTGTTGTTGTTGTTGTTTTTTTTGCTAAAGAAATCAGTATCTAGGAAAGAACAGATGCTACCATTCATTAGGTATTATATTGATTTGCACAGGACTCAGACTACTTGATTTTTCATTTGGACGATGTGTTTATGTTTCTCTTGAGACAAACATTACAAACCACCTCTGTCAAAGAATCCAGGTTTCTGGCAAACTCTGTTCGTGGCCTAGTTGAATGCAGGGGTGTCTGGCAAGGGATGGTGTGTTACATACCACATGACAGAAACACAAGCTTTATCGATATTTAACACACTTGGAGGGGTAAGGCGAGGCATGGGGAAGAACACAGAGGCAGCGACAGTCATAGCAAGCTGAGGCCCCCAGGTCAATTTCCAACCTCAGGGCTGAAGATCTTGGGTGCCTGGAGTCTTCCAGGCCCACCGGTATCCAAGAAGAGTTCTCTCGAAAGCTTGCATGGTACCATTGGAGCCGCATGGCAGACAGAGCAACTTCATTCCTGAGGTAGGAAGGGGAGAGGGCATACCAAGGAAGCAAATCTTGGCTACTTACCTCAGGGCGGACCCCTTGGGTGTCGCAATGCCATAGCCTTTGGAATCCAAGTTACCTCCCACCTTCATGGTGTCACAGGGTTTCCGCTGCTCAATGTACTCATTCATGGTGGACTCCAGAAGGTAGGCGTATTTGCCTTTGGATTTCCTCACTCGGATCATCCCCTCCTCTGTGGTCCGCACAAACACTGATGGTTCTGCTGACTTCATATATGTCCACATCTTCTCAAACACAGCAATTTTAGACCTCTGGCAGAAGACAGGAACAAAACTGGAATTAAGGGCTGGCTGTGCTTGGAATTGAGGTCGGCACACACACTAATGAAGAGCTGAGTGTAACTTGATCACACATTCATGAGTGAGATTAGCTCAGGAAGAAACAAATTATGAGTGATTGCAAAATAAGAGACTCTAATTAGTACCAGTAGTTTTCAAAGTACAAATATCTTGCAAAGATAGAACACACAGAATAGTTCAGAATCTCTTAATTACTGCTGAGTAATTATATTCCTGTTAAATATGGGGAGAGTTAAGAAACTCTGTCTTTTAAAGACATTAAAAAACCTATCTATTGTTCAGTCAGGCCACATTTATACAGCTTAGAAGAAGTGGAGAACTGAGTCTTAGTGGGATCTGATTTCATTATTGGATGACAACACTGAAGAATTTCAGGATCATGGGTGCCTAGTGCCAGTCTTCCCATAATGTAAAATCTGCCCTCAGAATATAAATTGTTGTCTGATAAAGCTAATAACTTGGGCCCTAATATTGTCACCTGTTTATATTTTTAAAAGCCTCTAAATCTAGCCAAATTGCTTTCCTTATTGCCTTCTGAACTCACTTGGGACTTTGCCTAGGCTGTTTACTCCACTCGATGTGCTGATTCTCATCATTTTACAGACCAGAATAAATCCTGTGTATTCTGAGACCACATCAGTTCCATGGACAGTAGTTCTCAGACTCTACTGGTCACTGAAATTATGTGCAGCAATTGTAAATATGCAAATCCTCCTGCTCTAAAACTAGAGATACTGATTCAACAGGTCTGGGGTGGAGCCTAGAATAAATCTTTCAGCAGTGCCCTAGGTGAGGCTAGTCCTATATGGCTTGTGCGACCCTTACTTTGAGAAAGTAAGGACACAGTGTCTGGTATCCACTGGATGGCCAAGATAGACTGCTAGGATAGCAAGTCATTCCTATTTGTGCACAGGTCTCAACTCTGTGGACACAACCAGAAGGGCGGGACAGTTTCCCTTTTGTGGGTCTTTCAAAGATTTTAACCTTGCATTTAGTAGGCCCTTAGTCAGGGTCCATGATCCATTACCACAAATCAATACTCTCATCTAATATGGTCTTTCTAAAGAGCATCATTTCTTCCAAAGGATAGATGTATTTTATGGATACTGGGATCTGGCTTTTGAAAATGCTTTGCAAATGAATAAGTTTTAAACACATATAAGGGACTATATTTATTAAAGTTATCACTATAACCATGCAACCTATATAATCTGGTGGTTAATATCTAGATTATAGATTTTTAAAGTATAAAATTATCATTAAACACTTAAGAGGTCATTTTTCTTTGCACACAAATATCAGGTCTATTTCCTTGATCCCAAGATCAAGTGTTGGACAAATATTGATGTATAATTAAATTGCTGTTTGAACCAACTGATCTATAGAGATATCTGGGCCCAGGAAAATTCTAGGTCTCCATGGAAAATTAATGGAAATAGTAATGAGAATTTCAGGGAGGCATTTGGTAGAGTGATCCTTACATTTTCATGTCCATCTATAATAATTAAAGTATAATATGCTAATTAGACTGGGCGTCCTTCTGGACAACCTTCCGGACGAAAGCCGGGGCTGCAAGGGAAGCCGGGGTCCCAGGTGCCAGAGGGAAGCCGATGTTGGCAGCGGGGGAAGGAAGGCCTACTCTTGCACGAATTTTGTGCATTGGGCCTCTAGTACTTTTATAATTTTAAAACAATTGACAATTACACAGACATAATCCTCTCTACTTGAAATCTGAACATTGTTCTGTAGAACAAGGCATTATGGGCTCCAAAGCAAGGGTGAATGGCTGGGTTTTTTCCTACTAAAACAGTCACTGAACCTTTACACCACTGCCATGTCTGTTCTAGCACGCCTTTCGCAAAGGATTTACCCACTTCCTGTTAAACACAGGTACTCAGTAACTAAGGGGATACTGAACATGCTGCAGGAATACTAGCAAGGAAAATCCTCTCTACTTGGGTGGGACAGCCATATAACTTCTAGGAATCTATAATAATTAAAGTATAATATGCTAATTAGACTGGACATCCTTCCGGATGTCCTTCCAGACAACCAGACGAAATCGCAGTGGCAGGGGCCGAGGCAAAGGCAGCCGCCACCGTGGCGGAAGCCAAGACCCTTGCACAAATTTTGTGCATCGGGCATCTAGTAATGAGATAAACTAGATATTTGTTTTACAGTATGGCTTGCAGTCTGGAAAGGACACTGGATTTGAGAGTGAGGAGCCCTGAGTTCTAGTTTCAGTTCCACTGCTAACCTTCCCTATCTCTTCTGTAGGACTTTGGGCAGGTAATCTTTAAGTCCTTTGCTAGCTGGAAAGATCTAATTCTTTATATGAAGATACATCACTCAAGCAACAATATCAATGTGAGAAAGAGGAAAAAAGAAAAGAAAGGGAGTATTTCAAAGTTATGGGAAGGAATACCCAGAATTAGTCATAGCATCTACAATACATTGAATAGTCTCTCAGAGGAAGCAGGGAAATGTATAAATTCAGCTGTGACCAGATTTTCAGATGATCTTCCAGGCACAAAACCAACAAAACACACAGCAGGGCAATTGCAAGATGCAATTTGACCTGACAGGATGGCCACAGCAGGGAAAGGGGCTGCTGACAGGGAGAGCTGAAGAGCCCTCTGGGCAACGATATGCAGAAAATTAATATGTTCTCTCAGCCTCACCCTAGTGCTCCATGCACCAAGGCTGTGCTCACAGCTGTTTAGAGCAGACTATCAGGGAAATCTCATCTCCAGGAACTTGAAGGCAGCATGAGTGGCAGGGAAGATTGGAAGCATACTTGGGGTATTTGTTCTTGGATCTCTCCTGTCATCTGCCACTACCATAGCCCTTCCCACATCTTAATTAAACTGTTGATGGAGGATTAACTGACTCTGGGTTGGGGCTGCCAAGAAGCTCTAGGCTGCCATGGTGACTAGAAGCCAGGTTTTTCAGTCTGTGGTAGAAGAATTCTTGTCTCACTATTACCTTCTTCCTTCTGGGATGTTAGGCAATCATGTCTCCCTAACCACCAAATTTTGTCTCCTACTTATCCTGGTGGGATAATTTTTCAAGGTCAAAGTCACAATGATGGAAGGGCTCACGGAACACATTTTGTTAGCATTCCTTTTTCACAGGTAGAGAAACTGAGGCCCATAGTGTGGCAGTGAAATGTCCTATGTCACATGGTTTGTTAATGGCAGAGCCAGGAGCAAAACCCTGGTCTCCTCATTGCCCACCTAGTTTCCACTGCAACCAGCTTCTTCCCTCATTTTAGGCTTTCTGAGCTGCACGGTTCTCTCCTGACAATGGTGATCATAGTACTCACTGCACAGTGTTGTCATGGAGATTATATGCGAACAGAGATAAAATGCATAACCCAGTTCTTGGCTCATTGTAGGTGTTATATAAGTGGTGCAATTACTACCTGTAATTATGCCCTTTCTTTATATTTTACTTTACAGTTGAAATATCCAATACATGGCTGGCTTGGTACCAGTTTTCCTCCCTACATACATGGCAGATGTTGATATCAAGTAAGAAATTATTTTACACTAACCCCAGGTGTAACCTCAGAATTTGTCTCAACATAGAACTCTAGGCAACCACTACCTTTCAATCAGCACATGAACTACAACCTATTTGCCACCAATGCAGCAGGCCTGGTTAGGACACAGTGCTTATAGAATATGAACTGCCTTGGTTCTAGATTCCTAACTTTTACTGTGGACAAGAAATAGTGATATGTCAATAGATACTGTTATTAACAAAGAACTTGGAAGTCTGAAGTACCAGCTGTGCCTCTAAGTAGCTAGGGTATGCTAATTTTCTTTCCTGGGCTTTGGTTTCCCAAACTATAAAAGGGGAGATTTAGGCTAGACTTGTCCGTGGGTCCATGTGGTAACCTGAGTGATTTTTATAAAAACGTTTGTCAGTTAATGACACCACTCCATTAGGACAGTGTGGTTCAGTGTCAAGAATACTTGGGTTGGAATGAGAAAACTCATATTTTGTACTCATCCTTGATATTTGCAACATTATTACCTGAATCTCCATTTCTTATCTACAAAGTAGACCCCCTATTCCTATTCTGCCTTAAGACACAGGTGAAACATAAATGAGACCATGGATGTGAAAGTGCTTTGGAGACTGTGACATGCTAATATATTGGGGATGCAGGCATGAATATATAATGGGTAAGTGAGTTGGGTGGTTCCCCAACTGCATCAACAGGGTCTGGGACGTAGGGCTGGCTTTATGGACACATATCAGACATCTTTGTCATGCTTTGGCTGTAGGCTAAAACTGTCAGATAATGGCTATGATATTATAATTGGTTTTTCTAACTGGTTGGGTAAGCCTACACAAAACATGTCTTGCTCTAAAATGAAAGACTCTAATCAAGTGACTTCTCAGTTACCTTCTTGCTCCAGTATGTTGAAAATGGATGATTTTAGCCTTGGAGTCTGGATCAGCCATGGTTAAGACTTTGGTCCCTTTCCTGCCTGACATATTACACAGAGCACCTAAATAGGAAACTGAGCACATCATCCAGTTGGTTCATGCAGTGCCTGGGGTTTGCTCCAAGAAATTGCAGTGAGAACCTCGTGGGTCTACACAGGATCCCACCCTCTTGCCTAAGGCAATACAGAGGTTTGCTCTCTATAAGCTGGGTGACCTTGGGCAATTACTTTTACTCTCTGAGCATAGTCATTTACAAAATGGGGACAACAAATCCCTAATGCACTTCTAATGAAAGGATTAAATGAGGTAATGCCTACAGGGTGTACTTAGTTCAGGACTGGATTCATAGTAAGTGCTAAGTAAGTAGTAGCAGTTGCTTATATGTTTGATCTATATATTGTAGCTCCATGTGCTCTTTGTTCAAATCCCAGGATGAACACATCCAAAGTCCAGGGAACTACAGGTTTTCCTGCTTTGGGGCATTTATTTAAGTGATTCATTTTGCCTAGAATGTAATTAGCCTACCCAGGTCTGACCTGGTTTCATGATGTTTAGAAATTTTACAGGTCTATTATTTGTAGTTTACAGACCCTACCCAGTTGCCCTCAACACCTACAATCTCATGCTCTTTAATGAGAAGGATATTTTCCTGCAATAGTGGTTTCCTTTTGTGAAAGTGCTTAGGGCCAACAATTGTCCCTTCAAGATGGATGTACCTGAATCTCCCTGAGGTCCTACTGGTAAATGGAGCCTCCATCCACTGTTGTTTCCCTTGTATTTCAGATGCCTTGTTTTTTTTTTAATCTCATAATGATGCTACGAGATAGACATTATTCTCCTCATTTTACAGATAAGAAAATGGTGTCAGAGAGGCTAAGAACCACCGAATGGTAAAGGATGGGGCCAGGTGCTGGACCTAGGTCTGGCTGAGCCTAAGTCTTGTGTGCCTTAGCTCTCTGCTTCTTTGCCTTGCTTGTGGCCCCAGCCACATGACATCTCTACTGCCTCCACACCAATGTCTCATTTTCTCTCTTTTCTGATAGTTTTTAATAGACCACCTATTCCAGTAATTGTTCCCCATATGCCACCTACTATTTATCAAGTCTCCAAGGAGGGGACACAAAGGGCATCAAGATCAGGTTGGGATCTTGTCCCTCAGCTCCTCCTAATCAATTACTAACAAGACTGTAAGGTCCTTCTAGGAGCAGCTTTTAGAGAACCTGGCACAGACTGGCATATGTAAAGGGTCTAATTCAGTGCAAGAGCTTTGAAGTTTCCACCAGTAAAGAAATGTGATTTCTCAGGGATCTGTAGAAAGCTGAGCCATGTTCTGAGTTTCCCTGACTTACATTCAGTTAAGCAGTTGCCCTGGCTGCCTATAATCTCATGCTCTTTAATGATAAGAATATTTTAAGGACAGTAGTTGTTCCCTTTTGTGAATGTGCCTTGGGACAAGGGGTGTCCCTACCCGGAAGAATTCCTTAGTGGATCCTGCTTCCAGTGTCCCATACGCAATTTCCGTCTGCTTTGCTAGGTCCTCCGCACTCTCAATGGGTGACACCATCCTCTCCACGGTCAAGAAGGCAGCCAGGTTGGCTGTGTATGAGGAGATGATGATCAAAGTGAAGAACCACCAGACACCACCAACGATACGGCCGGACAGGGACCTGAAGGCCAAAGGGAGGAGGTGTCAGAAGCACAGACATCAATTACAGAGGCTATGTAATTACAGAGGGGCTGAGGGCCAGCCTGAGTCCCGTCAGCAGAGCTGTCAAGCCCTATTACACCCTTTTCCTTGGTCAGCAAGATGTGAGACTTTAAATGTCAGAGAGATCTTCTCTGCATTTTATTCCTTATTGCAGATAAGGACCTGTGGGGTTGCTGTCCTTTAGGGGTGATAAAGCCCCTCAGGTATATATTTACACTCATTTTCACACATACATATATGTCAAGACACATGCCAGTAAAGACACAGATATATCAACACTTGCCCCCCAAATCAAAAATACATGCAAACCTTCTGTTAAATGCAGTGATATATACACCAAATATTTGTGCATACATATATGAATATAAATATATTTATACACAGGATGAGCATATTTGATTATGCCCAGAAATGTTTTCAGACTTGCCTTTTCATTATTGGCTGGCAAAGGTCGCCAAAATGATGGACTAGAAGAAGGGAAGGGAGGACATACTAGAAGTAAATGAGAACAACAGTACTCCAGCTACTTTGGAGAATGTCACTATTGAGTGGAGGCACATTTCCCTCCACTATTACAGAGAAAGAGAATTTGGCCAAAATAAAAGACAAAGAATATTTTGTTCTGGATCAAATAGCCAATATGACAATTATACATAAGGTGCAAAGTTTATCCTTAATCATTTTAGAATCCAATTCTCTCTTAATGCCTAAAATAATACCATGAGCTCCATGAGAGTAACAGAATCTTTTAGTTCTTTTGTGCAGTGCTGTGTCACCAGCACGGAGCACGCAGTAAACCTCAATAACAAGTGAATGCATCAATGCTGCTGCCCCTCTCCTAACCTGGCAGCTGTGTTTTCACTGGATTCTAGAGACCAGGAATAGTTTTCAGGGCCAGGAGAATCCAAACCTGCTCAGGGTCCAGGATGTCTGGAGTCATCATGGCCTTGAACCAAGTCTTCAGGAGGCTACCTCCTCTTCCAACATTACTGAACCGAGAGACCCAGCTGAGATGTCCCAAATTGGGGATTATCTCGTGAAGTTCAAAGGCCTCCCAAGAAAGTTCCAAGCCTATGGCTCCTCCTTCCCTGTTCTCCTTTAATTAATAGGCATCTTCTAGGCGGTGAGACCACTTACCCTGTATGGTATTTCCCACATCCCCACTTACTTAATTAAGAGACCAAAGAAAGAGTCTTTTGCTTAACAGCCAGCAAGTGTCATCCATGAAATACCTGGAGGGCTGGGGGAAGAAGCTCTTCTAACTGGGACATGATCTCAGTGCTTTGTTTGCATCTGATTCACAAGATGAGAACTTGGGTATGAGACAATTCCCCACCCTAGGGTCAGATCTGGTACAGGCAAAGTGAGCCTCCATTCAATAACTCTGCATTTTCCCAGCTCCACACCAGATGCAGGGGGTGGAGTTATTAGAGGCCAGCGCTGGGAATGAGAGCCTTTTCTTTTTCACTAACCAGCCATATAACCTTGGCTGGTTGCCTGTCCAGCCAGGTCTCAGTCTTCTTCCTCTGTATAATCAGTGAGACTAACCCTACTTCCTGTGAAAAATCTAAACTTTCAGAACTAGTAGGGCTCTTAGGCCATTCTTTTTCTTTAACTGACACAAGCTATTGGAATTAAAATGGTAGAGGGGAAAGCACTGTGAAAAGTGCTATTGAAATACAAGACATTATTTTAATGATTATTCTCCCAGGGAACCATAGGGCAAAGCAGTACTTTTCTTAGTAGAGAAAGGACAGCTGTGATCTGAATGCCTTGGAGGTCTGCCTAGTCACCTGAATTTTATTAGTCTCATAACTTGGCATAGCTATTCCCAAACTCCCCAGGTAATTGAGGAATCCCTTATGTTTCTCTAGAATTGTCCACAATGTAGATGGTTGTTATACCGATTACTTGAATTTCATGTGTAGCCCTGTAGATGGGAAAGGGATGAATAGCTGCATTTTGCAACTGAAAGAATAACAGTGAAGAGATGTAAAGCAACTTTCCCAGGGTCACACAGTGAGGTGGTGGCAGAGCAGGGAGTAGGAACCAGGACTTCATGTTTCCTGTCTCGAACTGTATCTGCTACAGAACATTCCCTTCTTCATCAAGTTATGATTCATTCATGGATGGGCATGGACTTCCTCAACTCATGCCATCTCTGTGATGTTGCTTCACAGCCAACACTCACTTCTTTCAAAGCTCAGTGGAACCTTTGGGAACCATAGAAAGCAGTCTCACCACCAACATCTCCACAGACTTGGAAACCTGTTTGTATTTGTTTATCACTGCATACCAAATCTCCACAGATGTAGAGGCTTCCAAAAACATTCATTTATTTCATAGTGCTACAGGTCAGAGGTCTGGGTTAGGGTGTCTAGATTCTCTGCTCAGGGTCTCATCAGACTGGATGGGTCTCACCAGGCTGAAATCAAGCTGATGGCTTGGAGTCCTTTTGCAAGTTCACTGGTAGGTTGCAGAATTCATCTTCTTGTGCTTATGGGATTGAGGTCATAGTTTCCTTGCTGGCTGCTAGTCAGCAGCTACGTTCAGCTTCTAGAGGCCGTCTGCATTCCTCATTACAAGCCCCCTGCATCTTCAAACCAGCAAGTGTGATAAATCCCTCTTGTTCTTTGAATCTCTCTGAATTCCAGTAGCTGGAGAAAATTCTGCTTTTAAAGGGCTCATCTCATTGGGTCAGGCCCACCTGGATAATCTCTGTTTATCTTAAAGTCAACTGACTTGGAACTCTACGTCTGTAAAGTCTTTTCACAGCAGTACCTAGCTTAGTATTTGAATACCCAAGAGATGGAATCTTTAGAAATCTGTGTAACGTACTATTTATTCACTCATTTTACAAGCATTTCTTGTACTGCAGGCATTGTTGGGCATTTGGGAGATAAAAGTGATACACCAAAGTCTCTCCCTTCCATGGAAAAAATGGGAAGTGTAACTTAGTGATTAAAACATAGGCTTTGGCGTCAGATACCCTGATTCTTTGTAAAGTGCTTAGCACAGTGTTTGGTGCACAGTAAGCACTCAATAAAGCAACCATCACTACCTTATAAAAATATCTTTAATGGTAATTGTAGTACTATCTTAATGATGTGACAGGTAAGAAAGCAGTTCTAATGGAACATAGAAGGCTTGCTAATTACCCTGTTGGCAGAGGGCAGGAAAAGTTACTAGAGGAGGAGAAACTTGTGCTAGGTTTTGAAGGCTGAGTAGGAGATTGCTAAGCAGAATAGGTGCAGGGGTGGGAGAAGGTAGACAGAGGTAAAAAGGAGGAGGTGTGTAAGATATCATCTTCTCTGTAAACTTCCCACCATTTGCCAGCAGAGCACTGAGCAACCCCTTCTGTTTTCCTATCACACCATGATCATTCTATTAAAAATGTAACCACTCTGCTGTAATGATGTAAGATGTTACTATGATTATTCCTTATGGTACTTATTAACAATGATGATGATGATGGATTGAACTGAGGCAAAATCCACAGAAATTGGGAGGGCAGGCCGACTGAAGAGATGATGATATCAAAGTGTTTTGGTCATCTATGGGAGTAGGGGCTGGAACTCTTGTCCCAGTTTTCTTTTTTTTTCTTTTTTTAATATATTTTATTGATTTTTTACAGAGAGGAAGGGAGAGGGATAGAGAGTTAGAAACATCGATGAGAAGAAACATCGACCAGCTGCCTCCTGCACACCTCCCACTGGGGATGTGCCCGCAACCCAGGTACATGCCCTTGCCCGGAATCGAACCCGGGACCCTTCAGTCCGCAGGCCGACGCTCTATCCACTGAGCCAAACCGGTTCCGGCAAGATGATGATATCAAAGTGTTTTGGTGATCTATGGGAGTAGGGGCTATGGGAGAGAATAATGTTCAGATGACAGTTCATGCATGCCTTCTGGGTGAATTAATTCCGACATGGTCTTGGGACTTAGATGCTGGTTGCAAGCTGTTTCTTCTTGCAAATGATGTTTTTGTCTTTGTTAACAAGAGAAAATTTGTTAACTAAATGCATTTTGATAATAATTTTGATAACTAAATGTATCATTAAATGCATACTTGATGCTAGTGGAAGATAGTAAGGATCTGATTGGACCATCCTCTGGGTTCTGACAGTTAGGCATTTCCTGCCCTGGGCATGGATTAGGAATCACTCCTGATCTTTAAATGTGTATTTCAAATCTCCCAGTTTGAAGTTGTTGCTCCAGACCAGAGGTTGGCAAACTTGCAAAAGGCCAAGTAATAAATCTTCCAGGCTTTGCGGGCCTTAAAGTCTCTGTTGTACTACTTGTCTCTGCTGTTGTAGTGTGAAACCAACCATGGACCCTACATGAACACATGCACACAGCTGTGTTCCAATAAAACTTTGATTACAACCAGGCCAAATCCAGTGTGCCATAGTTTTGTGACTCCTGCCCTCAATTCTGTGAATCATACTTTTGGTTTAAGCTAGTGTACAACAGTAGTCAGTAAATTTTTGAAACTCATTTTTCTAGTTATTAGTACCTCCACAGAAGCACCTAGATAAAATATTGCAATGATTCATTTGACAGTTACTTTTGGGTATCCTCAGGAAGAAAAAGTAGAGGGCATTGGTCAAGAGAATGAGCTTATGGGTCAGATAAAACATGATGGGGTCCTGCCTTGTCACTTATTGGTTGTATGACTTTGGGATAGTCACTAAATCTCTTTGTGCTTGTTTCTTGACAAAGTGGAATAATATTACTCATTTAAAAGATATTCTTAAGAGTTAAAAGAAATTACATATAAAGCATGTAGCACGTGCCGGCAGAGTGAGCATTTCAGGATGGAGGCATGCAGACAGTGTGAGGAGCAATGGTGCGGCTGCAGGTGGGAGAGCAGGCACTATGGCCAGGGCCTTCAGGAAAGCAGGTACTTGGGGTTGGTGTAGGGGGTGGGAGGTTATTAAACAGCAGTCAACATTTGAT